ATATTTTTTATTTTGATCACGTATTGATTATTAAGCATGTTCTTATTCCCAAGGCTGGTCGGGTTACGACATTCCTCCCCCTTTGAAAAAAGAAAACGAATAATTTACATGAGTTTTCGTCTTACATACTTTACATTGAGTTTCTTAACTTTATTATTTAATACAATATTGCGGTGTCGTCTTCTTTTTTGGGTATTGTGTTATTGTCAGATATTTCTCGGCCGCTCGCCGTATGATATATATGTTCTTGAATAATTCGTGGTTTGCTCATCGGATTTAAATTTAGATTCATTGATGTGTTTGGTTTATTTTTATTCCTTTTTATTATATATATTATTGCTATTGCTATGATTATGAGTACAGTTCCCGTAAAACTCGAAAGTATCGGGTATGTAGTGTATTTATGTATATTCATTTCGCTTTTATCTAAATTGCCGTCGATTTCTGTCAGTTGTTTGCTTAATTCCATAAGTTCTGAGGGTTTTTGTATAATTTTCCGGAATTTTGACGTTTTGACAGTGTTCAGTTGTCGGTTCGTCTGTGGTGTATGTTTGAATGTTATGTTATAGTCGGGCAGGTATGTCTGCACGTACGTCGTTCTTTCGTATGTGTTTGTTCTTGCCGTCATGTCAGGCGTTATTATCTTACATTTGTCTTTTAACGTTATTTGACCTGTCCGTTCGATTTCTATCTTTTGCATCGCTTTGTTTCTGCACGTTATTTCTATGGCTTGTTTAGTTCGAGTGGAATATAGCCATGAGTTCGAATTACTTAATGCTATCCATATTGTTGTGTTGGCGTGTATACTTCGAGTACTACAATAGTTTAAATGTGTATCTATAGCTGCGTACGCTTGTACTTCGCATAACGCACGGTTGTCTACGTGGTAGACGGGGCGGTTCCGCTCGCATACGTATGAATTACCTTCCTTAATACATTTATTTAATTCGTTTTCCGCAATTGTACAATATGTTCGGGTATCGGTATCTATCGCTATAATTTGTTGATTTATTTCTACAAATATAAATATATCTTCGCTTTTATGTATAGGTAAAGATATCGGTCTTATTATTTCATACGTTGGATATGTGATCAGTGGGAATTGTATAATGGTATATATATTTGTGCCGTCGCAGTAGGCGCTAATTTTCGCGAATTTTTCTATCGTTGCCCAGTTTTCTGGTGTTATTTGAAACGGAAAGTGTGTTCCCTGAGGTATCTGTGAAGCTATTTCTCTTAAATTATTTATTATATCCTCAATCGGGACTAACCTTATGTTTAGTATTCCATTTTTCGCGCTAGTTAAATGTTCTATAATGTCTGTCATATCTCTTGCTAAATCGTTCACAATTGCATTCAGTATTAGAAAATGCTCGTCGAGTTCTTCTCGATGTCCATACCCGGCTTTTTCGCGTAACCAGGTTTCTCTCATCTTTTCTGTGATATTCAGGAATCGGTCTTCGTTTTCTTGTAGAACCTTTTCCATATCATCCACGTGCGCAATAGTTGCATTTAATATTTTTATTTGATGTTTCACGGCGTGTTGTATTGTTTGCTGGTTTCCTTGCATCAGCTTTAGTTGTTCCTTTATAATTATTTCATCGTCAGCATCCATTGTTCCAAATAATGTTTTGGCTATTGTTCCTAAACCATTGATTAATCCTCGTCGTGTTTTCCTTGGATTTTGGTACGCGATTTTCAATCGTCTTAATATTGTTGTTACTTGCTCGTTATCTTTTTCTATTATTTGCAGCAAAGTTTGGCAGGTTTGTTTCATTTCTTCCTCTAATGGTTTATCATAGCACAGCGCTTTGGTTTGTGCCATGTAGTTTTGTAATTGTTGGTATCGATGGTCCATAGCTATGATGTCCAGTTTGATTACCATTTTCCATGCTGACTCGACCTGGTTCATTACTCCAATTTTTTCAAAGTATATGCCCGGCTCGTGTGTGAATTTTTTCACTTCAAACGGTTCTCGGGTATCAGGTTCGGTCTTCGTACAGGTGCTCCATGCCATTAGCATCCTGCAATACAAAGCATTTCCTAGTATTTTATTTCGGCTTCTTTTGTGTTGCTATATTCATATTTTTCGATGAACGCAACTGAGCTCTCTGCGATTCCTTTTCGCCTTTTCGTATTTTCCTACTTTTGTCCGCTACCGTTCTTTCCTTCTGCGGTTTAATTTTCTACAAACGCTTTTAATCGGTTCATGTGAACGCGTAGAGTTTTTCTCCCCATCTTAATGGTATAATTGACATCTGAATTTTTTTCAATAATTGCGTAGGGTCCTACCCACAGTGAGTCTAGTTTTTTCGAACGTCCCCGACGGACAGTCTCGTCGTATAAAAGGACTTTATCTCCTACTTTAAATGTGCTGTTTCTCGTCTTCTTGTCGTAGTTGTCCTTCGCCTTCAATTTTTCTTCTTTGAGGTGCTCTCTTGCAATATGCTGAGTGGCGCGTAGTCTTTCCCTTAATTCCTGTGCGTAATCATCGTATGTGTACGTAGGTCTTGGAGGTTGTGCTAGGGCTGTAGGCAGTGTCGCCCGATGCCCGTATATTAGCTCGAACGGTGTAAATCCTGTTGCCGTGTGGGGGGTGGTATTATATGTGAACATTGCATAGGGAATCCACTCGTCCCAATCTGTTTGTTCTGCATTAATATAATGGCGAAGATATTCTGCTAATGTACGATGAGATCTTTCTAGTGCGCCATTACTTTCTGGATGATAGGCCGTTGTCTGGATTTTCGCGATTTTTAATAATTTGCAGGTACTCTTAAATAACTCGCTCAAAAAATTAGTTCCTTGGTCGGTTAGAACTTTTTCCGGTATTCCGTGTTCAAATATTATTTTTGTAACAAATTCTTTTGCAATGGTTGCAGCCTCTTGATTCGGGATCGGAATTGCTTTGCTAAACTTTGTCAGATTATCTTGAAATGTTAATATATATCTGTTTCCGTTATTAGTAATTGTCAGTGGCCCTACGATATCTAATGCACACTTCTCGAATGGCTTAGTCGCGGTATCCGTTACTACCAAAGGCGCTTTATTTCTTTGCGTTAATTTATTTTTTTTTGACATAATTCGCATTTTGCTATATATTCTTCTACATCTTTAGTTATACCTCGCCAGTTGTGTGTTAATCGAATTCGATTTATTGTTCGTTCTACCCCTTGGTGTCCTCCTAAGGGTGCATCATGATACTCATATAGTATGCGTTGTTTTTCTCCCTCGCTATATTTTCGTTCGGTGTCGTTGGTCTCATCTTCCTTGTCCGTAGTTATATTAGCCACGTGCCGACTTAATGCGTCAGCGTTTCTGTTAGCTTGTCCGGCTTTATGTATAATTACATAATCATATTCCTCAAGTTTCAGTCTCCATCGCATTAGGCGTGATCCAGGATCGGATACGTTAAATAACCATACGAGAGATTTGTGATCAGTTACGATAGTAAACTTGGTTCCATATAAATATGGTCGAAAATATTTAACTGCCCATACTATGGCTAATAATTCTTTCTCGGTGGTGTTATAATTTTGTTCTGCTCGCGCTAGTATGCGACTAGCATAAGCTATCGGTTGATCCTGACCTATCTTTCCCTGCGATAGTATTGCTCCGATTGCGTAGTCGGAAGCATCGGTCGTTACAATAAATTCTTGTGTAAAATCGGGATACTTCAGTACAGGAGCAGTCGTCAATTTTTCTTTGAGAATATTAAAAGCATGTTGTTGCTCTTGTGTCCATTCAAATTTATTTTCTTTCTTTGTTAGCTTAGTCAGTGGTTTTGCGATTTTCGAAAATCCCTCGATAAACCGTCTATAGTATCCGGCCAGTCCTATAAATGCCTGTACGTCCTTTACTTTTGTAGGCGTCGGAAAATTTTTTACAGCTTCTAGCTTAGCTGGATCTGGCGAAATTCCATTTTCCGTAATTACATGCCCGAGATATGTTACCTCTTTTCGCAGAAATTCACACTTATCTGGTTGTAACTTGAGATTATTTTTTCGTAACCTCCGTAAAACTTCTATGAGTCTCCGATTATGCTCTTGCAGGCTCGCTCCGTATATTACAATATCGTCTAAATACACTAGGCATTTGAGTCCTTGCAATCCAGTAAGTATTGAATTCATTAGGCGTTGAAATGTGGCAGGTGCATTTTTCAATCCGAAAGGCATTCTATTGTACTCGTAGTGCCCATACGGTGTTGAAAAAGCAGTTTTACATTTATCACTTTCTTTCATTGGAATCTGGTGGTATCCAGAGGCTAAATCCAGTGTAGTGAAATATTTAGCGTTTCCCAATTGATCAAGTATGTCTGTTATATTTGGTAGAGGAAACGAGTCGCCTATAGTTAAGTCATTTAGTTTTCTAAAATCTACGACTACTCGAAATTTTGGTTTTCCTGATGCATCGGCCCTTTTAGGAACTACTAATAATGGTGCATTCCACTGGCTCGTGCTAGGTCGAATAATTCCGTTTTTTAGCATTTCTTCGACTTGTCGGTTTACCTCAGCCTTGTGCTTCTCTGGCAAACGATACGGTCGTACGTTGACCGATGCACTATCTGATTGCGTAGCAATTTCGTGTGAGATGGTGTCCGTACACGTCAGTGGTTCTCCTTCTAAATGTAATACATCACTAAAGTCTCTACATATTTCCATGATGGCCTTTCTTTCCTCTGTATTTAAATGGTCGGTACGTAGTAGGCGTAGTACCTGTTCGCTCCGCGGGATTTTCTCTCCCGTACTACTTAATTGAGTAATATATATCTGTTCTGTTTCGCACTGTTCTATTTCCTCTATGGTTACATGCGGTGTTGTTATCTCGACCGGGCTGTCGGTCGTATTTAAAATACTTGCCTTGCATAAGAAGTTTTCAGGCTCTACCAAGCCATTTCCTATTATTACTCCGGGAAGGATTTCTTCCGCTTGTATTATACCTCTCTTATTTTTATCGGTGACAACTTGTATAATTGTTTCGCTACGAGGTTTTAGTACTAGTTTTCTGTAAGGGTACAGTTTTAATATATTCTGTCCAATCTGCAACTGTTTATTCTTGTAATTGCAAGTGGCTTGTTGCTTCTTTAAGAAGTCTACTCCCAAGATTCCGTCATATTCTATTGGGAAATTATCGTTAACTACGTACATTACGTGTCGGATTTGGTGATCCTTGAGTTTAATGGTTGCCTCGATCTTTCCAATAGTCTGTACCTGGTGTCCGGTTACTCCGGTGAGCGTTATTTCTTCTGTGTCAATGGGCGTTTCTCCTTTTAGGTGTTTCACCTTAACTAGTGATATAGCCGCTCCGGTATCAAACAATAGATTTACCTTATCTTGTTTAGCTTCTTTCATTGGTAACGTAACGATATCTAGCCCTGTATGCGATCGCTGCGTCGTACCGTTCAAGTGTGAAACTTGGTATTCGATCGCTAGTCGTCGCTGTTTCGCTTCGTCCTCTTCATCGCTATTTTGCGTGGGGTTAGGATTCCTCTTTTTTGGATCCATGGCTTTGTAATTGCCCTTTTGTGGCCCTTTATTTTGCTTGGCTTGATGTACCTGTTCCTTGCCAGGTCGTCCATGTAATAACCAACATTCCTCGTGTACGTGTCCTGCCTTTTTGCAATGTTTACAATATTTTTCAATTGTATTCACGCGGGAATATTTGTCTGGTTTTGGTAACGAGAATCGGTTCGCGTATCGACTTGTTCTGCAATCGCGACCGTAATGTCCGTTTTTTCCACATTTCTGGCACTGTACCATCGGTTTATTATCTCGTGCCTGTGGGGAATGCGTATAATTATTTTTGGGACGCGGGAAACTTCCGCTCGGTCCGCTAACTTTTTCTTCTGCGTTTGCCCCTGCAATTGCCTCTTGCAGCGTAGCGTAATGTTGGGATCGTACGAGTATTTTGATATCTTCTCGTAGCCCTAATTGAAAGTTTTGCAATGCTTGTTGCTGTATGGTTTCTAATATGATCCGTTTTCCTTCAGGAGCATGATTTTTTCCTTCTATCATTGATTCGTACAATTCCATGGCTAACTTGTCTGTTCTGAGTCCGAACGATCGCGCGCTCTCTCCTTGTTTTTGTTTCAACGTGTTAAATTCTAACTGGAGATGAGTGGTACTTTTTCTACTTAGATAAGAAATTTCTAATTCGTTCTTTAATTGCTGGAAATCCTGAATTTCTCGCGTTTGAAAGTCTGTCATCGCTCTTCCTTTCAGTTTCGTGCATAAAACCGATTCTAATAATGTTCCTTCCTCTAGAGGGTTAATATTCTTTATCGCGTATGATAGTGCGCTTAAGAATTCTTGGAGTTTACTGGAATTTCCGTCAAATTCTGGGATCATGTCCCGAGCTTCTTTTAATTTCAAGTACCCTATCGCATGTTCGGCTTGATTTCGGATATCATTTGAGGTGCGCCCGTACGCAATGTTGTGTCTCTCGTATCTGTCATCGCGTCGGTTTTGCTCGTCGTCTCGTGGGCTTGACGGTTGCCTCCTTTCGCGCAAGCTATCTATCTCTAACCTCATACCGTGCATTAAGTCCATCATTTCGTGTATCATTGCTCTAATATCGTCAGGTTGTTGGGCTGGGGAGCTTGCTGCATTTCCTCGTACTTGCATGCTCGCGTTTATCCGGCTGGATTCATCGCGTAGACGGTCGATTTCTCTGTCGACTTCGTCGGCGGGAACATTTCGCTGTTCGTTTACTCTTAAGTGACTCATGCTCGTATAGTATTCTTGGGGATCAAAAATGCTCGAATCGTAGGATGTCAAAGAGTATTCACGGCGATGTGATACTCTGCTAGGCGTGCTTATATCGGATTCCGCGTCGGGGATTTGTTCCTCGTTATTCACGGTTAATTCATCGGTTGTCTCGCCGAGAATTATTATTTCACGCTCGCTCGGTTCGGGTGAACTTTCGCTCGAATAGTAATTTTCTAAGTTACGACGTACGTTTTCGCGTATGTCGGAGATCGCTTCGGTAACTATTATCGCGGGGTTTACACGGCTATTGCGTATGGCTCGAGTTGCTGAATTGTTATGTAG